TCAAGCCGCCCGTATCGTTCGACTGGGATTGTGGGCCACCTTCTGTCAGCGTTATTTCTCTTATCAAATGATTTGTGGGTAACCTGAATGGATTATCTTTCGAAAATCCTTTCGATATACTCAGTTCAGCGTATTCATCAAGCCTTCACATGAGAAAATCGCTCGATTCAACGCATTTCTTTCCATTCCACTCGCTAAGAAGGCATAAATCGGCAGTAGAATCTAGGAGATAGGACAGTTTCGGCCCAGAAGACAGCTCAGAAGTAAGCTAAACAGTTGCGGGGAATTTATTAATTGCTCTCTAACCATGAATCTGGATGTGTCGACATTGAGCAAACTGTTGGTGATTCTAGAATGAGGGTGAAAATTTTGGAGATTGGAAAAATATTTCTGGCCATAGCCGAACAGCCGCTTGAGATCTAGGCTCCATATTAAAACAGTGGGTAGTATGGGCAAGATATTCTTCTTGCTGATATTAGGTCGCAAATTTTTTGAAAATTAAAATTTTTTGAAAATTTTGAAAATTCAAACTCTCATAACTTGGCTGCGGCTAATTATTGAGATCATTCCTTATATCATTACCTACCCGGCCAGATGTCCATCTTGCAATGCCCATCCAGAGCAATGTCTGTCCTCGATTTCCTCACGTATTTTCTCGGGCAACTCTTTGTATTCGGGTAACGTCATCAGTTTGGAAGCCCGAGACTTGAAACTGTAAAATGTGATATTGCTATAAACTAGATGTCTTTGGGCAGATTGACCGGCTATCCGGGAGAACAGCCGAAATAACAAACATAAGCTCGCGTGAAGGCATCATTTCGATAGGAAACACTGAATTTATTTGCGTTCAGGATTCATTTGGCTATCGGGAATACTCGGAATAGATCGTGGATGCGTGATGAGCATCGTACCTTCCTTCGATTCGTAGAAGACAAGCACGGCGTAGATTTTTCAGATCATAACGATCGGCCAATTGCAGATGCTCCAACATTTGCTCAGCAGTCAGCGGTGGTTCCAAACAAACCATCTGGAATCGCCGTAAATCAAAGCATTTGCGCGAAAGTCATGAAGTGCTGGTAAAGTAAAGTGGAACCCCGGTCTGAATACAGGTTATTCATCGAGTTTTTTTTTGATGAGTGATTTCTTTCCCGGGAAAATTGTGGTCCTCTCTAAACGATGGTTCCCCTTTCACTAGTGGACTTGAATGTCTAAGATAAACACTGATTCAAATGATTTTTATAAGTGATTATTTGGGAATGAAGCCGTCAAATACAAAAAATCGCACATTTTATCGGCAACAACGAGCTAAACTACCTCTCCAAGACTGAGGAGTAGCCGTTTTAAGTTGTGCTCTTCAGCGAACACCATCATTGGTCGGAAATAACGTCCCGGAATAATGGTTCGACTCGGATAGACATGTTTCAGTATCATGTCAACAAGACCGGGCACGGTCACTCCATTCTTCGCGCATTCCGCTCGTATTTTTGGCGTTATTCTCGCGATCAATTCACCTAGTAACACATAGTATCAAGAGTGATCTCTCTATAGTTTCTTTCGTCAAATTCGTCAAATCTTTCTAACAACCATATTAGAGCTGCTCAACAACGATTTCGGAGCAGCA